GCTAAAGATTTTTGAAGATATCCGCGTTCTTGTGACATGTAAATACTACGCTTCCTATGTTTTGGTGCGGACTGCGTTCACACCGGCAATAAATCGCAAGCAGGCGTTCCGAGACCACCTAATTTAGCGGACCAGAGTACGGTTGTTTAGTTCACTTAAGAGGTCTCGGATTGTGTTCACACCGACCCAAATGAACCGCACCAAGCGGCTAAACGCACCAGGGTTCGATTCGACCGGACTATACAAGGAAGGTGTGAACGCACCCTAAACATTTAAAAACAAATCTTCCCGGGGGAGCATGCCCCCCGGACCCCCCTAGAGGGTGCATGCATGCGCGAGTCATGGTAAGGTCTCTGGATTAAGAGGTTGCTTTTTCTTTGCACAGCATGAAAGAAAGGCGAAATGAATGGGCTGTGATCTTAGTTTTTTTAAGCAGAGGTCAATAATTTGTACGGCCCTCGGAGGATGTTGAACAAATTGAAATGGCCCTTGAGAGGAAAAAGGTTCCCCACCCCTGCTATAGAAGAACTAGTTATATTTAAAGAACATTGGAATAATAAATAGAAGGCTGGATGTCATCTTCATATCTCTGATTTGATGAACAACAACAACAACCAAAGGCTTTATAACACACATACAAATACTAGGCACCCAAGCTTATATAAAAAATACTGTATATAATTGATCATTCATTTATGATTCATCTTGGATTTATCCATCTAATAATTGAACATTTTCATTTAAATCATGTTAAAATGTTGCATAGAAACCTGTTAGCTAATGGCATCAATCTACTCTGTTATTCAAAGATTATGTAAAATACAAACAATGTGTTAAGAATGAAAAAGTTTGACATAATTATAAAAATAATAGTTATATAATATTACTGGATCTCTTAATCTATGCTTTGTGTCCTTCCCTTCACACAGGTACACCCTTATGGCCCCATTCTGACGGCCATTTTGGCTGCAGGTTAGCTGTTAGAGGCTGGTGACAGCAGAGGCTGAAGTGAATAGTCAAAGATAACTATTTTTATGAGAACATGGCAGTCTCTGGTAAAAATAAATTACATTTTTGGGTGATTGGGCTCTTTAGTTTAAAAATGACAGAAAAGTATAAACATACCCTTTGCATTTTAAATGTCCTTTTCTATTTCTGCCTTTGGTTCATTAAGTGTTAATATTACAAGGATGGTAAGAGGGATTGACATACTTTGCTTTGCTTTATTGCATGATATACCTCTCTGTGAACATCCAAGTGAAATTTGGTGACATTCTGGCCATTATTTCCAGATATACGTGGGATAAGGCCAACAGGCCCCCCTTCAAAACATGGTTGGGCTTTGTTCTCGGGTAGGGGTATCTCGAAAACTAAAGCCATTTTGGGGGGTTTGTTCCTCTACTATTTATAATCCTGTACATTGTAAATTGCAAAATGTAGTTTTCCACCTAAAGATTTTGGTTGTATGTGTCATGTGACATGAACAAATAATAATGCCTGGGACTTCAACAAAACCCACCCATTTCATTTATTAACAGACCTATTTGTCTGTTTTCTGAAGAAATGCAAAATTGAAAACTGGAAACCCAATAAAGTTAATTACAAAATATTAGCACTGCGAGTTTCTACGACATTTTGACATAACAGGTTATATGCAATTTTGCGAAGGAGACAGCTGTATTTAACTAACATAACATTCATTCAACAGAAGACACACAAACCTATATAATAAATACTAACATGCAACCTCGACATAAAAAATAAATAAATGTAGACCGACTATGTAATAGAGGGCAGTCAAACATGACTTGTGTTTTAATATGAACCCACGGATTGTATGATAGCAGAGATAAGAAAGAGCATTTTTAGCAGGAAGAATATATTTGGCATGACGACAACTATTTGGCTATGTGCACTGAGTAAAAGAAAGATGAATGGAAAATGTCAAATATAAGCATTTGAGACTGGCATTGCAATTGACAATTGTGATTTAAATGACATTTAAGCCTGTAATCAAATTTTGTTAAAAATTCTAAATGATCTATTCACAAATCAGCATTATGCGCAGTCTTTTATATCTTATGATTAATATTAATCACGTCCAAACAAGTTACTTTTTGCATTAAGTAATAACCTGTCCTGGTTCGACAGCAATGACATTACAACATTTCCAATTTGGAGAATCTTAAATTGCATGACTCAAGATTGACATACTGTACTTCACTGTCTCCTCTATGCTGCTCCTCCAGTCAGTGTGGAGGTCGGCTGATGCACAGGCAGCTATGTGTCTGACTATGATGCAGGAGAATGGTAAATCCATCCCATCATAGAGACATAGACATTGTTATTAGTTCACTGACACTCTGGCGATTATGTTTTTGGACACTTTAAGGGAAAGTTGAACTTCAACACAGAACAGGAACTTCAAACTACTGCTGCAATAAGGGAGGCTTTGCACCTGCAATGAAACAAAAAGCCTAGAGTACCTTCTTTTTGTAATCCACAAAGTATAACAGAAAGATGAACCTAACATTTTCATACCACTGTCAGGCCAAATAAACAGTGAACAAACTGTTGATAAAACAGGACTCTACTAGATGTGTGGATGATGTTAAGGCCCACAGCAGCACTCTGGGCTGGAACTATGACAAGAAGCTTTAAAGCTGGGCTCAACTTCCACAGCTTGCTGACTCAGCAATTCTGATAAAGCTAGTGACTCACCAGTATCTCAATGTATAGGATGAATTTGTCAACGGACCTAAAGGGTGTTCTCCAATAAAGTGGCCACTCAGTGTATTTTACCACTCTATAACATGTGAGTTGTCTGTCACAGGCACCCACCTGATGTCTTAAACCATGGATACCAAAATGAAATGAAATGATATTCAAACGTTGCTTGCCTTGCTGCATTTCCGAAAATTCTGTAGTAGTTTTTGTTCCACTACAAGCGCATGATCAGCACCTGCACTCAAAATTGTAGAAGCGTATGCTCCATTCCCGTTTCAAAGCCTTAAGTATCCAGTTTGCTTTGGGAAGCATTGTGGATGGAGGAGGATACGCAGAAACATCTTCTTCCTCCATCAAGCCCAGCAAATGGGCGAGGAAGTAAAAGCACCTGCTTGTACTGCTTTTTCAGCATGTGATTGACAGATGTTTTAAATATTTTAAAGTTCACTGTTATATGAGTAAACATGTGGAGACGGCAGGTAGGTGTGGTTCGGACTGACAATGAAACGTGCAAATCCCAAAATATGTCAAACACAGTGAATGACTACATTTTTCATTGAATATGATTCAGAACATTTAAATGTTCCACAAAATTTAAATATCGGTGTTGACTAAACAATTAAAATGTCACATTAGGTCAGAATCACAGCCGCTGGTAACAAGTCACGTTGTTAATGAAATAATCTGAAAGACACAAGGATGTAGACAGTGAGACCAACTGGGAGCCAAGGCTCTTAAGGGTTTATCTTTTCACACACGGGAACTGTGTTAAGTCTTAAGGAAAGTAAAGGAAAATCTAAATGTAAGTCATACGTCTGTGCCTTTCTATAACAAACAGAACACTCTTCCCTTGGGGTTAATCCAACCAATCTGTTATGTACCGGAAATGGCTGGACAGCAGATCGACCAGTTTGACCCTAAGGTACAAATCCCACAGAGTAATTTACATCATGAACACGGGATTTTCCAACAGGTTGTCAAGAGTGTAATCAGGTAACAAATGCACTTCAATGAGCTAAGGTTCAAGAAACAAAGTTAGTTAAATTCAATGCACACATGTATGAGTATTCTCCTCAAATAAAATGAAAAGCTTAACATTCAAAATAATATCCACCTGTATGCACCTACTTCTTCTAACAAAGTTCTAAATCACCTCGCATGCTACGCTCAGGAGGGCCAAGTTGATATCCTAAGACCTAAGCTCTCAAGGAATTGAATGGGAAGCTAGAAGTCCTTTAGTTTATTTTCAGGCACCTCAAACGACACAAACACATCTCACGCAGTTCCCTGTGGGGGGTCCACAGATACAGAATATTTGCTAGCTCCACCCGGGCTAACTCCACTTGTCACCAAATTACGAAGTAGTTTGCGCCGACCAGCCTGGTAGTCTTCTTCATCAACATTGACCAATAGTTTTATAGCTTCGTGGCCAACAGCCTGTTTTAAGGAATCTGTGATGAAGACCCCTTTAAGGGCCTCAAGCAATGATCCGTTGATGTAGTCCCTCCAGAAGGCATCCAAATAGGTGAGCTCAGAGAACTTGATGTCACAGATGATGGAACCCAAGTCTCGGGATTTGAGGATAGTGTTTGCCTGGTTGAAACGCTCAAATTGGCGCTCCACTGCCTCTTGCTTGTTGGAGAAGACGTTGCCCTGAAGTGCAGACTCATGCTGGCAATATTCAGCACGAACCCGGAGGCGGATATCTGAAGGAGGAGAGCACAACGTAAAGTCAATAAGATCATCAAACAAATCTCCTAGTGATACTCTACAAGGCTCTATATGGACAATGCTAATTTGCCACAAGTATTTTTGCGTAAGCACGGAAACATGAGCAATCTCTCCAAACATCTGGCCAAAAGGCATCATATTTAGACGGAGAAATGCAGTTTTCGTTTAACTTTACTCGTAGCTCTGTCACCCCAATTACGTGTAAAGTGGGAGAAGTACTCAGATCTTGTACTTGAGTAAAAGTAGAAGTACCAGAGTGTGGTTCTACTATGACTACGTTTACTTTTTGAAAGTAAAAGTAGTCATTGTGCAGATTGGTCCATTTCAGAATAACATATATGATATGTTTTATAATGATTGATCATTAAAGTGTTCTCAAAGCTGGTAAAGGTGCAGCTAGTTTGAATGACTTTGTATACTGCAGGGTAGCTTGTGAATTTACTCCAGGTGGAACTAAAGTCTGATTTAACACTTGATTATATTTCACATCATTCATCCACATCTGTAAAGTAACTGAAGATATTACGTACATGTAGTGGAGTAAAAGTACCATATTGGGGGAATTGTGGTGGTCGATGTCTTTTAGACTCGGTTCAGATTTTTACACCACACCGGTTTAAACCATGGTCCCCCATTTCACTCTCTGTCACTGGGAAACAGAGCTTCCTGGTGATCGCTCTCCTCACAGGTTAACTAGTGACCTGGCAACATGGATGGAGGTGAAGCGACTACAGGGTGCGTCTGCTGGATTAATATTGTCTACTTATTTGTCGGATAAACCATCACTTCCTCAAATTCAATAGTCGCAAACACCCAGACGGGCTACTAGTTGATCACCAACTCCAACTTCAAGTGATTGATTTGTGTGAGTGTGCATCTTTTTGTTGGACGGGCATTGTATATTTGAGGTCTCGCGTGTAGATACAAGGCTCACTGCTGCTGTTTTCCTCCGATTATGAAAAAAGGAACACACGTTCCAGGTTTTGCAATGATGCCGGCATGGCGTCGATATGAAGGCCATCTGCAGAGTTTGCATGCTACGTTGTGGGGCTCGTCCTTTAAATGCTCAGAAAGATCCCACACATTGGATTTCCTGCCTGACAAAATTGCCTTAATGACCAGGCACAGCTCTGTATGAAGTCTGAGGGGTTTTCCGGCTGACGTTTTTTTTCTTTCTTCGACTAATAGACTGATGAAAAATGTGTCGACGAACACTTTTTTTTGCCGACTAACGTTCAGTCGACTAATTGGGGGCAGCCCTAACTTTAATATGCACACACAGGTTACTCAGAGAAGCCAGGTCACACTCTTAATCATATAATGCGTTTACATGCACTGTAGTAACTTCGTGTACTTCTAAGTTACACTCGGACTGGTTGTAATTATTATAAATTACAAGGATGCATCGCTGCATTACAATCCCTCCAGGAAATATCAAATGTCTCTAATCCCTAAGCATGACTCCTGTAACCCTGTTTGTTTAAAAAGAAAACATATATATATAATATATAGTATACTGAAAATAACAATTGTTACCTACTTATTTAAGGCATGTAAAAGGGTTGGTAACTGTTGCTTTAAAGTAAGCAATGTCACTAGACAGGTCTTATTTTGATGTATTTGTCAACATATTCATGAGGCTTTCTCTGTGTTGTGTTTCCCTTTACCACATGTTTGCTTCTCTCTGCAGTCAGCTGAAGAATGACTTCTCCTCCGTTTGCGGTTTGGTGCAGGAGGAGCTGGCTTTGTTTGGGGGAGGCCAACGTGGGGTCCTGACGGGGAACAGCAAATGACTGGTTGTGGACCTAGAAAACCATATATCAGTTACTTGGACGGACACACACACACACACACACACACACACACACACACACACACACACACACACACCTGTTCTTCTGTGAGGCGCAGTGTCCTTGCCCTGCACCACTCCTCTGGGTGAAATGTAGCGCACTGATGTCTCTTCCAGGTACTTGTCCACAGGGTCCGGGCACACTGATGAAAGCAGATGATTTGAAATTGCAGGCCTTATCATCACACAGAAAGCAGACATTTTGGCCCAAAAACTACATTTTGGTGGTCACTTCAGACAAGTACAAACCAACATGTTTATTAAGTTATTTATAGTCAAAAGTTATGCACAAGACAGTAAGATTATTCAACTTTTTGAAACCAATAACAATAAGGTGCCATATCCTCTATAATTACTACTTGTGCTTTTTTCCGATTGCTTTCCAGCATCTACACTGCAAGCCTTGGCAAAGCAGAATCGCAGGACCTCACATGTCCCTGTGGACAAGTATGAAAAACCCTCACAATATATGTGGCCTACAGACAACAAACATGAACAAGGAAAACAGTTCACTAAGGTAACTTAGGCAAAGGCTAAATACAAGCAACAAATACTTGAGCACACTTTAAAAAGGAAAGGAGAAATGTACAATTGTTTCTCCCAATCCTGTATTTTGGAGTTTAAAATACACCCTTCATTTCCACTGATATGTATTTGAAGTCTTGTATGATCATAGTATTTACATTGCATTACTCACCAGACTGCCGTTTCCGGAGTGTGACGTACGGCAATAGGTCATGGCGTGTGATGATCCTTAGAAGCTGTAGAACATGTCGAAAGTTGGTTTCATCACAGCGACCCTGGCGTTCAAGGGCCAGCAGGAAATCCTTTCCACTCCTGATGCCACCTCGCTCATACTCATCAATCACGTCAACAAAAAGGAATGACAGTACCCTGACATCGCGATGGGTAAGCTGTGCTCCAACGATGTCAAACATGCGGTGGAGTGAGTAGAGCCCATGGGAGTTGTCCACAGCTTCCTCAGGCCATGGCTCCAAGCTTCCATCTCTTCTGGAGAAGCTGGACTTGGTGCAGGAGGCCGAAACGTTTCTACTGGCTCCCTCCCCGCTGGCTGCTGCAACACCAGAGCAGCCCGCCCTGCCGCACAGAGCTCTGTGATCCAGAGGCCTGGCAGTGGCACTGCTCTGACTTGAGTCCAGCGGATTGCCCTGAATGTGATGCCGGGCCTGCTGAGCAGAGGAGTTGTGAGCAAGCTGGGGAGGAATGGCAGCACTGGGAACCTGTTGCTGCTGTGATGTCATCTCAGGGCCCAACGATGATAAGGGATGTTGGAATCCCAACAGCCCCTGCTGTCTTTGAATGCTCCAGTTGACGAGCTGTACAGAGAGGGGGGGGGGGTCGTATAGAATTTTACAAATACTTCAGAGAACTGTTACCATGGGTGGACGTCATCATTTATCAATAACAGTATACAGCTGCAAAACATACCAAGTTTCCCAAGGCTCTATTAGGTGCATTCAGCATTTATGATTATTCTTTCATGAAATAAAGATTCAGATAAATGGAACACAATCTCAAAATAATGCAGAGATGGGCAACTTGTTCATGAAGGACACAATTGTTGAGTCCAGGTTTGGTAACAGGGTCCTGGTATTGTGCAGCAGGGTTTCCTTGCAAACTTAACTATACACTGACACTTTACTGGGCTGGAAAAACCAAAGAAATCTAAATCTAGGTTCTAACAATACTCATTCCTCTGGGGTTATTTTCTAAATGAAAGACTTAAAGGGCCCATGTCATGCTTTTTCGGTTATTACCCGTTTGTTATGAAGGTTTTTCTGCACGTAAACGGTCTGCAGAGTCAACAACCCTCAAAGTACACCCTGTAGCGAGTAAAACTCTAACACAGAAAATACCTGCCTATGCTGCCCCAGAACGCCTCGTTGGAGATTTCTCTTTTTCCATTGTTTTCTTCCTGGGTTCTGTGACGTGTGAACACCCAAATCAACAACAAATGACCGGATTGGCCCAAATGGACCAATCCGCGGAGCACCTCACACACCAGAGGCCTGTACTACGAAGCTGGTTCAACCTAACCTGGATATGTTTGAGTTAGCCGGTTGGCCTAATCCAAAACATACGCGCTCTCGCTAAACGGTACTACGACACGGGTTATCAAGTGGATCGCTCAAGCCAGCCGTGCCCTATCTAGTTATGTGCGCGTTCACATGAAAGGGGTGGTATTTGGAGCATTTGACCAATCACAAACATGGAGAAGCGTACTGACAGCCAGGGCTCGAGCTTAAGGACGTCCCGTCGTCGAAAAAAATAGTGTCAGGGAGGATAAAAAATAATTTTGGGACGAATTTGGGACGAGAGTTAAAATAAAAATACCCTGCTAACTCTACTACAAACGGCGATGAAAATGAAATCGACTGCACGTTG